GGCATTTTGGATTTGTAAAAACATTACACTTAATTAAACTGCAATTTTGGTGGCCATCCATGAAAAAGGACATAGAAAGTTACGTGGCCAGCTGCCCAAAGTGTGCAACTGCCAAGAGGTTGCAAGGGAAATCGCCCAGACTGTTACAAACAGTGGCAAATCCCTCAGCCCCCTGGAGGGAAATAGCCATGGATTTTATAGTGGAATTACCAGAAAGCAATGGGAATACTGTTGTCTGGACGGTCACAGACTTGTTTTCCAAACAGGTGCACTTTATTCCTTGCCAAAAGATTCCCACTGCAAAAGCCTTAGCGAAACTTTTCGTGTAGCATATTTACAGATTGCATGGGGCACCCCAACGCATCATATCTGATAGGGGAGTGCAATTTACATCTGCATTTTGGAAGGAATTTTTATCCCTCTTAGGGACCACTCAGGGACTGACATCTAGCCATCACCCGCAGGGGAATGGACAAGCGGAACATTCCAACTCAGTACTTGAGCAATATTTAAGATGCTTTCTTAATTTCCAACAGTCTGATTGGACGGACCTACTCCCCTTCGCAGAAGTGGCCTACTATAATGCAGTCCACTCCAGCACAGGTTACACTCCTTTTCAAATAGCTACTGGTTAAAGTTTCAACCCCATGCCAGAACTAACCCCAAACAAACCAGCGATCCCATCACTGAAAGAATGGATGGAACAATTACAAAACACCTGGCCAATAGTTAGAAAAGCACTAGATGAAGCTAGGCAGGTATACAAAGCAGAAGCCGATAAAAAAAGGGTTGAGCCTACACCATTCATTATAAGAGAACTGGTGTACTTATCTACAAAATACCTAAAATCCCTACAACCCTGTAAAAAACTTGGACCGAAATATATAGGGCCTTTTCCAATTAAAAAAATCATAAACCTAGTAACAGTAGAATTAGAATTATCCAAAAATCTCAGGCAAATAACCCAATTTTTCACTGCAGTTTGCTGAAAAGAGAACATCAGACACCTTTACGGCCAAAAATCCCCCACCACCACCTCCAATCATGGTGGAAGGCGAACAACACTTCGAGATAAAGGAAATCCTAGATTCTAGGAGATATCATGGGGCAACTCAATACCTAGTAGCATGGAAACACCTCCCTGCCTCACAAAACGAGTGGGTCCATAAACATCATGTCAGAGCCCCGAAGCTATTAAAGAAGTTTATACAGAGTATCCTAACAAGCCAGACTAACTTTTATACCTGTTTTGTTTTCTTTTCAGGTGGATCTCTCTTATTTTTAAGGGGGCAGGATGTCAGAATCCAATTATATTTCATTTCTAGTTATCTACTATGGAAAAAAACCATTTCTGCTCTCTCTGGATTCTGTCATACTACGAAGGGGAAGGGGGATGAGCAGGGGGGTTTTATGGCTCTCACTTCCTTCATTAAACTTCAAAAGGACTGGATGTTGATTTTCACCAAGAGGACTGACCATAACAATATGGCCATCGCCTTTCATCTACTCGCTCTCTGAAGTCTCCCTTTTGCTGGCAGTAAGGGAAAAGGGGGGGAAACAATGCAGCGCCTGGGGTCTGGAAAAGAGAGGATGAGGATCATCGCCCGGAAGAACTGTGGGGTGGGGGGCTGCTTGGGAACACTTAAAACATTGAAGGATGGGAGAGAATTCCTCAGATCCTATCTAGCACGCCTGCTATCATTTTCTCTTAATAAAGATGCCTGTTGGAAGAGATATTCCAAGAGTTCTGTCTTCTTAAGATGTAAAGTGACGTGGGTCCTTACACTCAGGATCCAAAAAGATCTTGACAGGCTTGAACAATGGGCCCTATCCAACAAATAAAATTTAATGTGGAGAAAAGCAAGGTTTTACACCTGGGCAGGAAAAAACAAAGGTACAAGTACAGATTAGGTGAAACCTGGCTCAAAAACAGTAACTGTGAGAGGGACCTTGGAGTCCTAAATATGAGCCAGTAGTGTGTGGTAGCAGCCAAAAAAGCTAATACAATCCTTAGTTGTATAAACAGAGGCATAGAATAAAAATCACCTGAAGTATTAGTACAGCTTTGTAAAGGCTTAGTAAGGCCACACCTGAATATTGCATCCACTTTTGGTCATCACATTACAAAAAGATGTTGAGACCTTGGAAAAAGTGCAAAGAAGAGCAACTAAGATGATTAAAGACCTGGAGATTAAAACGTATGAAGAACAGGTGCAGAATTTGGGTATGGTCAGTCTAGAGAAAAGAAGGACTAGGGAGAATGTGATAGAATAGAATAGAGTTCTTTATTGGCCAAGTGTGGTTGGACACACAAGAAATTTGTCTCCAATGCAAAAGCTCTCAGTGTACATACAAGTAATAGTGATAATTATGATTATAAACAACATGAAAATACATTCATCATAAATCGTAAAATACAACACTTCATCATAAATCATAAGATGCAACACTTAGTGATAATTATAGAGTACTAGCTAAGCAAACAACATAAATCATATTAGGATACTAAAAACAATATAAATTGTAAGATATAAGCAACAAAGTTGTAGTCATAAGAAGATAAGGATAGGTAATAGGAAAGATGAGGTAATACAGCTTTACTAGGTAGTTTGACAGTGTTGTAGGAATTAGTTGTTAAGCAGACTGATGGCATGGGGGGAAAAATTGTCCTTACGTCTAGTTGTTCTTGTGTGCATTGCCCTATAGCATCGTCTTGAGAGAAGAAGTTGAAATAGTTTATGTCTAGGATATGAGGGATCTATAGATATTTTCACAGCTCTCTTTCTTGCTCGTGCAGTATACAGGTCCTCAGTGGAAGGCAGGCTGGTAGCAATTGTTTTTTCTGCAGTTCTAACTATTTGTTGAAGTCTGTGTCTGTCTTGTTTGGTTCCAGTTCTAAACCAGACAGTTATAGAGGTACAATTGACAAACTCAATAATTCCTTGTAGAACTTACCAGCAGCTCTTTGGGCAGACTGAGCTTTCTGAGTTGGAACAGGAAGAACATTCTTTGTTGTGCTTTTTCAATGATATTTTTGATGTTAGGTTTCCATTTTAAATCTTGAGATATTATAGAATCTAGAAACTTGAAGGTGTCTACTATTGATACTATGTTATCTAGTATTGTAAGAGGTATTAGAATAATGGGGTTTCTCCTAAAATCTACTATCATTTCTACAATTTTGAGTGTGTTTAGTTCAAGATTGTTCCGGCCGCACCACAAGGCTAGTCGTTCAACCTCCTGTTTGTATGCCAATTTGTCGTCTCGAATGAGGCCAATCACTGTTGTATCATCTGCAAACTTCAGTACTTTAACAGAGAGATCTTTTGAGATGCAGTCATTGGTATATAGAAGAGAAGTGGAGAGAGCACACAGCCCTGGGGAGCCCCTTTGCTAATTGTACAGGTATCTGATGTGATTTTGCTAGCTTCACTTGGCTGCTTCCTATCTGTTAAAAAGCTTATGATCCACTTACAGGTGTGGTCAGGAATGGCTAGCTGATTTAATTTAGTGAGAAGAATATCTGGAATGATGGTATTAAATGCCGAGCAGAAGTCTACAAAAAGGACCCTTGCATAGGTCTTTGGAGATTCAAGATGTTGTAGGATGTAGTGCAGAGCCATATTAACAGCATTATCTGCCGATCTATTTGCTCGCTAGGCAAATTACAAGGGGTCTAACAATGGGTCCGTGATGGTTTTCAGGTGGGCCAGCACTAATCTTTCAAAGGTTTTCATAACTACGGATGTCAGAGCAACCGGTCTGTAATCATTCAGTTCTTTGATGGAGGGTTTCTTTGGCACTGGGATGATAGTAGAGCATTTGAAGCAAGAAGGAATATGGCATATTTCTAGTGATTCATTAAAGATGCGGGTGAAGATGGTAGCCAATTGGTCAGTACAAGCTTTCAAGCAAGAAGGAGTTATCTTGTCTGGGCCTGGTGCTTTTCCAAGATTTTGTCTGTGAAATAGACCTTGCACATCATTTTCTGTTATCACCAGAGGTGGGAGACCCAAGGGGATGGGATCAGTTGTAGGAGGTATGGCTGTTGGTGTATCTGAGGTGAGGATAGTGGAGATAGGTGACAGTGGTTTCCTCTCAAACCTACAGTAAAACACATTCAGGTCATCTGCCAGTTGTCGATTTCCTTCAGCATGAAGAGGATGTTTGCTGTAATCAGTGATATTTTTGAGAGTTTTCCACATATTCGCTGGTTCATTTGTTGAGAACTGATTCCTTAGCTTTTCAGAGTAGCTTCTTTTGCTGCTCTGATCTCCCTTGTTAATACATTTCTGGCCTGATTGTACAGCATTTTATCTTTTTTCCTGTAGGCTTCCTCTTTGGCACGATGTAGTTGCTTGAGTTTAGCTATGAACCTAGGCTTATTGTTCCTGGTTGGCACTGATACTGATAGCAGTATTCCAGTAGTTGAGAGGCTGCCACAAGGAGGAGGGGGTCAATTTATTTTCCAAAGCACTAGAAGACAAGACAAGAAACGGTGGATAGAAACTAATTAAGGAGAGAAGCAACTTGGAATTAAGGAGAAACTTCCTAACAGTGAGGATAATTAACCAGTGGAACAGCTTGCCTTCAAACGTTGTGGGTGCTTCATCACTGGAGGTTTTTAAGAAGAGACTGGACAGCCACTTGTCTGAAATGGTATAGGGTCTCTTGCTTGAGCAGGGGGCTGGACTAGAAGACCTCCAACATCCCTTCCAGCTCTATTCTGATTCTGAAATATATGGCAAATACAATGTAATAGAGATAGTTGATGGATATTTAAAAGGATACTGTATAGTAACAAAGATAGTAAAACCAGAGATGATAAACCTGAAAGTGACTCCAGAAACTAATTCCATACATTATGAATCATGATCAATTTATTTTATTTCTTTTACTTCTATTGGTATTCTTAGTCTTTCTGAAAAAACATAAGGGCTAATAAGAATTTGGGTTGGCCAAGAACAGCATACAATTTTGCTTACGTTTGTGCTTTACAGGAAACATCCAAGATCCAGATGAGCCAATCTTAGAATTTAGTTTAGGTAAGTAATTTTAAAATACTACTTTTATACTTGTTGCTTATATGAGGATTAGTTTATGTACAGGTTTAATAGTTATGTATAGCAAACCACGTTTTATAAGATCCTATGACATCTTCCTCGGGACTTTGTGATTTATCATTTTGGATTAATTACTAGGAAAACAGCCAGTTAAATTAAAACATTAAATAACCTAGCAAGGGCAGTGTAAACTATATGTCATAAATGTATCAAAATTAACACAAACTGGGTAGCTTGTTATGCTAATAATCTGTTTCTGCACATACCATTTTTGATCAATCTTCCTTTTTACATCTTTGTGTGAAATACGGCATCTGAACATACAGCCAGCGCCAATTCTCTTTTTCTAATTAATCCTTGAAAATTACCCAACTCTTAAGTTATAATTGAAGTTTAATTGTAATAGCATTTTTCACACTATTTGTTTCATACTCAGTATCTTCTATTTTTCTCTCTCTTCTTTTCACTTGTTCTTTATTTCAGGCAAAAGCCTAGTGTTAGTGTGGTATAACATGTATAGCAATAACAGCAATTATGATCAGTTATGATCGGTTCAGTCATTGTTTTGTATTTAACAAGTGAAAATTTTCATTTCTTGTATTATATTTGTGCAATTTAGTTCCTTCAGTGTGTACAAACAGTGCTGTTGATTTTCCACAGCTTGCAGTGAACTGTTAACTCCATCACTAGATAGGAAGCCAAATTGTTTTGTAGCAGTGAGTGTAACTACACCACCTCAGGCATTCTGGACAAAGCATGCTCAAACAGAAATTATTGAGGTAGGTTATACTGTTTTGCTGTCAGTAACCTGATTAAATTCAACTGGTATCAATTTAACTTTACTAATTTTTTTGTTGTTTCCATTACAGGGCACAAACAACCCCATCTTTCTAAGCAGCATTGCCTTTTTTCAAGATTCTCTTATTAATCAGATGACACAAATTAAACTTTCTACATATGATGTAAAAGATAGATCTCAGGGAACTGTAAGTTTAAAAATGTCTTGTTGCTGTACATCTGAACCAGACCTTGCATGCTTTTGATTCTGGAGGCCCTGTCTAGGTTCTTTAAAGGCTGGCATTATTATAGTTACTAGCTATTATAAACACAATAGTCCGAGCCTGGTTTTGAAGATTATATTAAATATATTACATTCCTTTGTTCAAAAATACATACAAATTTCCTCAAGAACCATACATTTTAATTAAATGAAAATCACCCCAGCTGCATTGTTCGGGATGCTCATTCTTAATTCTAATGCTAGGATGGCATTTTCTTTGGGGTTAGCAGGTGGGAAAGGATATCTCCAACCTTAATTTGCTAATGAATCTTAAATGCTCCTGCTTATTACCATTATTGAGTAAAAAAAGAATGGTAGTATGCTGTATAATTAAATACAGTATATACGGTAGTTGGTGGACTTTTTAAAAGGTGGAACTAAAGATTTCCTTGCTATGACAGGAAGGAAAGGAATCTTTGGATCTGACTTCAGAAACATAACTGTAATGGACATTTAATGGTTCTTTCCTCTTCTCATTTTCATAAATGTTCTCCCTCTTTCTCTCTCTCTTATATTTATATATATATAAACTCCGGGATGTAAGGCAAAATGCTTTTTTAATTGCTAAGCTTTCATTAGCAACCTGTTAACATCATCAGAGCAAAGGGCTAAATGACAAGGGAGTATGTGCATAAATTTACATAACATATGTGAGTTAAATGTGAGTTGATATAATTTGCATTGGTTAGCAACACATAATCAAGAAGTAGCTGATTTATGGAGTCATGCATTGATTATAAAAATGAAAACCTATTAGGTATTATTTGGTATAGATACCTATTACATACAATAATACATACCTATTAGGTATGTTATATGCTTGGACCCTCTACTCATCATTTAGATTCTAAATTATGATTATCAGGTTCTATGATTTGGTATGATTTCTGAATTGAGGGAGAACTGAGAGAGAAAGGGATTCCTCCATCAAATTATTGACAGTTTTACATGAAATATCAAAGCCAAGGAAATAGTCTTTCAAAACTAAAATTAAAAATGGTAATAATTTATTACTGAAATGTTTTTTTTTCTTCAGATGTATTTATTGGGTTCTGTGATATTCACTGTACAGGATCTACTTAAGGAGAAATGTCACAGGCTGCACTTAACACTGAGGTTAGTATTTCGTCTTATTTCATATGAGAACAATCTATATGCTAATTGAAGAAAGCCAGACTATTAAATATTCTTTTTAATATGCTTTACCACTGACAGAATTATGAATCTGAAATTTTGGATTAGACTTGTTTTAACCAAGGATAAAATCGCATTCAAGAAATGGCATTTTTATAAACAACAGAATTTTGAGGCCCAGAGCAAATCCAGTTTTACCATTTTCCACAATTGTATCTCTGTTAATGAGAGGGGCACTGTTGTGTCTTATGGAGCCTGATTGATTTATCCCAAGTAATTTGTACATTGTAGATCTGCTGAAAACGACCGTGTTGGGAACATTACAGCCATAGGATGGCAGATGGAAGAAAACACAGATGAAAGGCCTCCTGTGACCAGGTCTCCTGACACTATTAATGGAAGGGTGAGTTGGCTGTCTTTCTACCATGTATCTAACTCTTCTTATTCTTCCCATCCCGTTCCTCAGAGTCAATTTTTTCTTCTAAAGCAGATCAGCCCTTTGTTGGATAAAAATACTGTGTTATGTATCTTAAAGGAAGGAACTTGTGTAAGGCTACCATCTCAATTCCAAAAGTGAAAATGAGAGGAAAAAAAGCTTACTTTCATTTATTTTTCATTTATTTCATTTATTTCATTTATACCCCGCCCTTCTCCCGGAGGACTCAGGGCGGCTTACAGCCAGTTTAAAACAATCCCACATAAATACCAAATACAAATCTAAAATAATTAAGAATAAATATTTGAATTGGCCGCTCTATTAAAATTTTGTTAAAACCAATTAAAATACCCCCTAGGCCAGTCCTGCCTG